CGGGAGGCCGGGGAGGGATGGAGAGGCTGGAGGGGGCAGGAAAGGGCAGGAGGATGCTCAGGGAGACTTTTGGAAAGGCACCCGTGGGCACTGCGGGAGGCTCCGTCCCAAAATCCATCCCAAACAGCCGGAACGGGGGATTGGGGAATTGCTGGGGAGGGGATGGGGAAGGGCAGGATGAGGGCTCGGGATGTGGGACTGGGGGGAGAATGAGGGGCTGGGAGAGAGGGACACAGGGGGGGACAAGAGGAGCAGGGAGAGAGGGACACAGGGAAGGGACAGAAGGAATTGGGAGAGAGGGACACAAGGGGCTGGGAGAGAGGGACAGGAGGGGCTGGGAGAGAGGGACACGAGGAACAGAGAAGGGACAGAAGGAATTGGGAGAAAGGGACATGAGGAGCTGGGAGAGAGGGACATGAGGGGCTGGGAGAGAGGGACATGAGGGACAGGGAAAGAGGGACAAGAGGGGCTGGGAGAGAGGGACATGAGGAACAGGGAGAGAGGGACACAAGGGACAGGGACAGAGGGACACGAGGAGCTGGGAGAGAGGGACATGAGGAGCAGGGAGAGAGGGACATGAGGGGCTGGGAGAGAGGGACATGAGGGGCTGGGAGAGAGGGACACAAGGAACAGGGAAGGGACAGAAGGAATTGGGAGAAAGGGACACGAGGAGCAGGGACAGAGGGACATGAGGGGCAGGGAGAGAGGGACATGAGGGGCAGGGAGAGAGGGACACAAGGGACAGGGAAGGGACAAAAGGAATGGGGAAGGAACAAAAGGAACAGGGAAGGGACACAGGGAAGGGTCATGAGGAACAGGGATTGGCACAAGGAATAGGGAAGGACACGAGGAACAGGGAGAGAGGGACACAGGGAACATGATGGGATATGAGGAACAGGGGAAGCGACACAGGGAACAGGGAAGGGACACAGGGAAGGGACACAATGAACTGGGAAGGGTCACAAGGAGCAGGGAATGACATGAGGAATAGGGAAGGGACACGAGGAATGAGAAGGACGTGAGGAACAAGGAGAGAGGGACACAGGGAACTGGATGGGACATGAGGAACAGGGAAGGGACACAGGGAACAGGGAAGGGGCATGAGGAACAGGGACAGAGGGACACAAGGGGCAGGAAGGGACACAGGGAACAGGGAGGGGGCACACAAAGCAGGGATGGATCAGGGGATGCTCTCAGGTAATGCTCCAGTGATGCTGCAGTGATGCTCAGGTGTTTCTCAGGTGATGCTGCTAGGTGCTGCTCCAGTGATGCTCAGAGAATGCTCAGGTGTTTCTCAGGTGGTTCTCTCAGGTGATGCTCCAGTGATGCTCAGGTGATGCTGCCAGGTGATGCTTTCAGGCAATGCTCAGGTGATACTCTTAGGTGATGCTCAGAGAATGCTCAGGTGGTGATGATGCCAGGTGGTTCTCTCAGGTGATGCTCAGGGGATGGTTTCAGGTGTTGCTCTTCAGCAAGGTCCAGGTGATGCTCCCAGGTGATTCTCCCCAGGTGTTTCTCAGGTGGGGCTTCAGCGAGGCTGCAGTGATGCTCTCAGGTGATGCTCAGGTGATGTTTTCTGGCGCTGCTCAGGGGCTGCTCAGGTGCTGTTTTCTGGTGATGGTCTCTGGCGTTTCCCAGGTGTTTCCCAGGTGTTTCCCAGGTGCTGCTCTGTGATGCCCCGGTGATGTTTTTTGGTGATGCTCAGGTGTTGCTCTCCAGACATGATCTCAGGTGCCACTCTCAGGTGTTGCTCTCTCTCCCATGAGTCCCTTTCCATCAATTCCCTCCCATGGATTCCCCCTCCATGGATTCCGTCTTTGTGGATTCCCTCTCCATCGATTCCATCCTATTGATTCCCTCTCCATGTATTCCCTCTCCATCAATTCTATTCCATGGATTCCCTCTCTATCAATTCCCTCCCATGCATTCCCTCTCCATGGATTCCCCCTTTGTGGATTCCCTCTCCATCGATTCTATCCTATTGATTCCCTCTCCATGGATTCCCTCTCCATCAAATCCATCCCATGGATTTCCTCTCCATCAATTCCAACCCATGGATTCCCCCTCCATCAATTCTATTCCATGGATTCCCTCTCCATGGATTCCCTCCCATGGATTTCTTCTCCATGGATTCCCTCTCCATCAATTCCATCCCATGGATTCCATCCTATCAATTCCCTCTCATGGATTCCCTCTCATGGATTCCCTCTCATGGATTCCCTCTCCATGGATGCACTCTCCATTGATTCCTCCAATTAATTCCCTCTCCATGGATTCCCTCTCCATGGATTCCATCCCATGGATTCCTTCCTATCGATTCCCTCTCCATGGATTCCCTCTCCATGGATTCCATCCCTGTCTCCCACAGGGAGGATCCCACGGCAGCTCCTCCTTGTAGGAGATCCCACGATCCCGGTTTTCCCCTGGCTCCAGCTCCATCCGTGTCCCATTGAGGGTGGCAGTGAGGGGGACTCAGGATTGGGATTAGGGACGCAGGACCGGGATTAGGGACACAGGACCAGGATTAGGGATGGGAGGAGCTCCCCTCGGCATTCCAAAGGTTTGGGGACTGGTCTGGGATCACAGCTGGGATAGGCCTTGGAAAAGGGACTCAGGAATGCTCCGAGTCCAAGGGAAGAGGTTCAGACTCTCCTTCCTGTTCCTGTCCGCTCCTGGTTTTCCTGGGAAAGGGAAAGGGAAAGGGAAAAGGAGGAGAAGTTTAAAAAAATGAGAGGAAAGGGAAAGGAAGAAGAAGGAGGGAAAGAAGGAGAAAGAGGAAAATGTGAAAGAGAAGAAGGGAAAGTAGGAAAGGGAAGGTGAGGGAAGGTAAGAAAAAGAAGGAAAAGAGGAAAAACTTTTTAGAAAAGGAAAAGGAGGGAAAGGAAAATGAGAAAGAAGGAGAAACTAAGAAAGAAAAGGAATGGAAAAGCAATTGGAAGGGAAAAGGAAAAGGAAAAGGAAAAGGAAAAGGAAAAGGAAAAGGAAAAGGAAAAGGAAAAGGAAAAGGAAAAGGAAAAGGAAAATTAAAGAAGAAGAAGAAAATAAAAAAAGATAAATTGAAAGAAAAATTATAAAGAAAGGGAAAGATAAAGGGAAAGGAGGAAAAGGAGAAAAAGGAAGAAATGGAGGAAAATATGGAAAATGAAAAAATGAGAAAGAAGAGAGTGGGAAAGAAAGAGAGAAGGGAAAGAAAGGAGAGTGGGAAAGAAGGGAGAAGGAAAGAGAGAGGGAAGGGGACAGAACAAGAAAAGGAAAAGGAGGAAAGGGACAGGAAAAAGAAGAAAGGGACAGGAGAAGGAGAAGGAGAAGGAAAAGGAAAAGGAAAAGGAAAAGGAAAAGGAAAAGGAAAAGGAAAAGGAAAAGGAGGAAAGGGACATGGACAGGAAAAGGGACAGGAAAAGGGAGCAGCTGTTCCTGCCACCCCCGTCCAAGGCCTGTGCTGGCCCTGCCCGCGGCATCCCGGGATCCATCCGGGAGAGCCGATCCGGGGGCACGGGGCGGGATAAATCCCATCGGAGCGGCGCGGGATTACGGGAGCGCAGCTGTTCCCGGGCTGGATGCGGATGCAGCCCCCGGGTGGCGGGAACTGGGGCACCGGGACGGGGGACGGGGGGGTGACAGGGGACAGACGGAGCGCTCGGCCCCGGTGACCGCCAAAATCCCTGATTTCCCCATCTACAGGGAGTCTGGGATGGGAATTTTGGGAATTTTCCCAAACCCAGGCATGGGGAAGGCGCCCCCATCCAAGGCTCCAACCAAACGTTGTCACTGGCGCAGCATTCCCAGAGAAGCTGTGGCTGCCCCTGGATCCCTGGAAATGTCCAAGGAAATGTTGGAGGGAGCTTGGAACAACAACCTGGGATGGTGGAAGGAGTCGGGGTTGGAAGAGGATGGGATTTGAGGTCCCTCCCCACCCAAACCACCCCATGATTCCATGATGAAGGACACTCAGAATCCATTCAGAGGGATTTTTATGGAAAAGGGAGGAAAAGGGAAGGGAGACCCTTCCTCGAGTCCTGAGACTCCAGGTGAAGCCCCTGATTCCTAAAACTCTTTCTGGGAGAGGAGTTGGGATGGGGCTGGATCCAATGCCAGGCTGGGAGAGCATCTGGGAATGTGCAGCTGGATCAGGGGAGGATCCAGGGAATCCTTGGAGCCGCTTCCCCATCCCCAAGGGGCTCCAGGAGAGCTGGGATTGGGGCAAGGGCTGGAGGGGCAGGAGCCAGGGAATGGCTTCCAGTGGGAAAGGGGAGCTTGGGATGCTGGGATCCTGGGAAGGGATTCCTGGCTGGGCTGGGATTCCCAGAGAATCCCTGGCAGTGTCCCAGGGTGGATTTGGATCACCCTGGGATGGTGGGAAGTGTCCATGGCATCATGGGATTGAGGGTCCGTGGATCCCATCCCAAACCATTCTGGGATTCTGGGATCAGGGACACTCAGGATCCATCACGAGGGATTTTTATGGAATTTAGGGATGGAAAAGAGAAGAGAGACCCTTCCTGGAGTCCCCAATTCCCAGTGAAGCCCCTGGATCCCGAAATTGCTTCTCAAGGAAGAATCAGGATGGGGCTGGATCCAACGGCAGGCTGGGAGAGCAGCTGGGAATGTGCAGCTGGATCAGGGGAGGATCCAGGGAATCCTTGGAGCCTTTTCCAGAGGGAAAGGAGAGCTGGGATTGGGACAAGGGCTGGAGGGGCAGGAGCCAGGGAATGGCTTCCAGTGGGAAAGGGGAGCTTGGGATGCTGGGATCCTGGGAAGGGATTCCTGGCTGGGCTGGAATTCCCAGAGAATCCCTGGATCCCTGGCAGTGTCCAGGGGTGGATTTGGATCACCCTGGGATCATGGGAGGTGTCAGGCTTGGGACGGGATGAGCTCTAAGCTCCCCTCCCACCCAAGCACTTTGGGATCCCGCACCCCTCCCGCCCTTCCCGCCGACATTCCCCACTCCCGATTCCCACCGGGAGCGCTGATCCGGCCCCGCTCTCCCTCTCTCCCCGCAGGCTACGGGCACGCGGCGCCCAGCACGGACGGCGGGAAGGTTTTCTGCATGCTCTACGCGCTGCTGGGCATCCCGCTGACCCTGGTGATGTTCCAGAGCCTGGGCGAGCGCATCAACACCCTGGTGCGCTCGCTGCTGCGCCGCCTCAAGAGGCGCCTGGGCATGCGGCGGCCGGAGGTGTCCATGGCCAACATGGTGACCATCGGCTTCTTCTCGTGCGTCAGCACGCTCTGCATCGGCGCCGCTGCCTTCTCGCACTACGAGAACTGGAGCTTCTTCCAGGCCTACTACTACTGCTTCATCACCCTCACCACCATCGGCTTCGGCGACTACGTGGCGCTGCAGAAGGACCACGCGCTGCAGACGCAGCCGCAGTACGTGGCCTTCAGCTTCGTCTACATCCTCACGGGGCTGACGGTCATCGGCGCCTTCCTCAACCTGGTGGTGCTGCGCTTCATGACCATGAACGCCGAGGACGAGCGCCGCGACGCCGAGCAGCGGGCGCTGCTCAGCCGGGCCGCTCGCCCCGGAGCCGTGGCCGCCGTCCCCGAGGCCTCCGCGGTGGCCCCGGCCGAGAGCGGCTTCAGGAACGTCTACGCCGAGGTGCTGCACTTCCAGTCGGTGTGCTCGTGCCTGTGGTACAAGAGCCGCGAGAAGCTGCAGTATTCCATCCCCATGATCATTCCCAGGGATTTGTCCAGCTCGGACACGGGCGTGGAGCGCAGCCACTCCTCGCCCGCCCGCTGCCCCGAGACTCCGGAGCACCGGTGCTTCTGCCGCTCCCGGCGCTCCGCCATCAGCTCCGTGTCCACCGGGCTGCAGAGCCTGGCGGCGTTCCCGGGATTCGCCAAGAGACGCAGCTCCGTGTAGCCCCCATCGCACCCTCCCATCCCAGACCCCTCCTGGAGCGGGAGGAAGCCGCTCTGGACTCGGCAGCGACGCCGGAGCGGGGCCGTGACGGTTGGCTCCGGAATGGATTTTAATTTAAAACCTCTTGGATTTGGATTTTAATTTAAAACCTCTTGGATTTTAATTTCACACACACACACACACAAGAAACCCAAACCACTCCTTGAAAATGTGAAACTTGGGAGAGCGGGAGAGCCTCGGAATCCGGCGGGGATTGAGGGGGGCACCTCCCGCTGTGGGCAGCCTCTCCACGCTCTGGATCCTCGGGAATTCCCCGGGAAGCGCAGAGGGACCCGGCGGCCGCGGAAATCAGGCTAAGAGGGGCTTAGCCGGAGCTTTTCCACATCAGCCGCCCGGAAAAGCAGCCGGGAGTCACGTAGGCTGCTCCAAACCCTGGGATTTGGGGCCGTCTTAACCCAAATTCGTGGCGGGGCAGAGCTGGGAGTCGTCGGGATTTAGCGGGAATCATCCGCGGGAGGCTGGCTGATCCCACAGGATTTCTGTGTCCGTCCACGCCGAGGGTCTGGGGATGGCATTGCTCCCCTCAGGAAAGTGTTTGGGGAAAATCTGGGATATTTTCCCCTGGGATCCCCCATCTCCATCCTCCCCAAGGCTCCAGGGATGGAATTATTTCCCTCAGAGTGCTTTTGTTGGGGATAATCGGGGTATTTTCCCCTGGGATCCCCATTTCCGTTCTCTCCAAAGCTCTGGGGATAGAGCTGTCCCTCCTGGAATGGTATTTTGGGGAAAATCCGGGATATTTTCCCATGGGATCCCCATTTCCATTCTCTCCAAAGCTCTGGGGATAGAGCTGTTCCTCCTGGGAAGGTATTTTGGGGAAAATCTGGGATATTTTCCCCCAGGATCCCCATTTCCATCCTTTCCAAAGCTCTGGGGATGGAATTGTTCCCCCTGGGAAGGAATTTTGGGGAAAATCTGGGATATTTTCCCATGGGATCCCCCATCTCCATCCTCCCCAAGGCTCCAGGGGTGGAATTATTCCCCTCAGGGAGGTTTTTTTTTTGGGATATTTTCCCCTTGGATCCCCATCTCCATCCTCACCGAGACTCTGGGAATGGAATTTTTCCCTCGTGGAGGAATTTTAGGGACAATTATCCCCCCCGGATCCCCATTCCCATCCTCACCAGGGCTCTGGGGGTGGAATCTTTTTCCCTCAGAGAGAAATCTGGGATATTACAACACTCCTCCATGCTTTCCTCCACACCCCTTCCCACCACCACCCTCACTCCCGGGACACTCCCGGAATTCCCTGGGATACCCCGGGGGTCACCTCTGTCACCACCGCCCCAGCAGGGGAGCAAAACTTCCCTCCTTTCCTATTCCCGCCCTTCCAGGTTGGAATTTTCCCCTCCCAGCACCCAAAGCCCCTGCAGGGGACACGGAGGGGACACGGGGGGGACCCTCCCGGAGCGCTGGAGGTGGCAGGGGGGCACTTTGGGGATGTTCCGTCACCTTTCCAGAGAGGAAAACAAACAAAAAAAAAATCCATGGATTTCTGATCCTCGAGCTGTGCATTTGTGAGATTCCTGAGGGTATTTATTACCAACGGCGCTGTCCACGGAATTCCAGGAATATCCGTCGGAGAGGAGGCTCAGGGGACACTTCCCGACGATTCCAGGGAGGAATTTCTGCATCTTCCTCGCCCAGGGGCGCCCGATTCCTACCGGGGAGGGGTCCCTGGTTCTCATGCCAAAGCCGGTTCGTCCCGCGGGGTTCGATTCCTTGGAGAGAGAAATAAAGGATTGTTGGAAGCTCGGGAGCGTCTGGGATCTTTCCGGGGGACCTGGAGAGGGAGGGAGGGCTGGGAAAGGAGGATCCCGATCCTCTGGGATCCTGGCTTTGCTTCCCATGAGGATTGGGAAAGGAGGATCCTGATCCTCTGGGATCCTGGCTTTGCCTCCAATAATTCCGTCAGGATCTGGGAAAGGAGGATCCCAATCCTCTGGGATCCTGGCTTTGCCTCCAGAAATTCCCTTGGGATTGGGAAAGGAGGATCCCGATCCTCTGGGATCCTGGCTCTGCCTCCAGTAATTCCCTCAGGATCTGGGAAAGGAGGATCCCGATCCTCTGGGATCTTGACTTTAACTCCTGTAATTCCCTCGGGATCTGGGAAAGGAGGGTCCTGATCTTCTGGGATCTCGGCTTTGCCTCCCGTGAGGATTGGGAAAGGAGGATCCCAATCCCCTGGGATCTCAGCTTTGCCTCCAATAATTCCCTTGAATCTGGGATCTGGGATTGGAGGACCTCAATCCCTGGGACCTCAGAGCCTTCCCTTGGGATCTGGGAAAGGAGGATCCTGATCCCCAGGTTCTTGGCTCCTTCCCTCGGGATCTGCAGAGGTGGAGGGCTGGGAGAGAAGGATCCATCCATCCATCCCTCCATCCATGGATCCATGGATCCATCATCCATCATCCATCCATCCATCCATCCATCCTTGGATCCATGGATCCATCATCCATCATCCATCCATCCATCCATCCATCCATCCATCATCCATCCATCCATCCATCATCCATCCATCCATCCATCATCCATCCATCCATCCATCATCCATCCATCCATCCATCCATCCATCCATCCATCATCCATCCATCCATCCATCCATCCATCCATCCATCCATCATCCATCCATCCATCCATCATCCATCCATCCATCCATCCATCATCCATCCATCCATCATCCATCCATCATCCATCCATCCATCCATCCATCCATCCTCATCCATCATCCATCCATCCATCCATCCATCATCCATCCATCTGTCCATCCATCATCCATCCATCCATCCTCATCCATCCATCCATCCATCCATCCATCATCCATCCATCTGTCCATCCATCATCCATCCATCCATCCATCCATCATCCATCCATCCATCCATCCATCCATCCATCCATCCATCCATCCTCCATCATCCATCCATCCATCCATCATCCATCCATCCATCCATCCATCCATCCATCATCCATCCATCCATCCATCCATCATCCATCCATCCATCCATCCATCCATCCATCCATCCTCCATCATCCATCCATCATCCATCCATCTGTCCATCCATCATCCATCCATCCATCCATCCATCCATCCATCCATCCATCATCCATCCATCCATCATCCATCCATCCATCCATCCATCCATCCATCATCCATCATCCATCCATCCATCCATCCATCCATCCATCCATCCATCCATCCATCATCCATCCATCCATCCATCCATCCATCATCCATCCATCCATCCATCCATCCATCCATCCATCCATCATCCATCCATCCATCATCCATCCATCCATCCATCCATCCATCCATCCATCCATCCATCATCCATCCATCCATCATCCATCCATCCATCCATCCATCCATCCATCATCCATCCATCATCCATCCATCCATCCATCATCCATCCATCCATCATCCATCCATCCATCCATCCATCATCCATCATCCATCATCCATCCATCCATCATCCATCCATCATCCATCTTTATACCCCGCCCCATTTTCCATGCCTCAATTCCCGATGGAGCAGAGGACAGAGCCGGGATTGTCCCAGCGCCAGGACACCAAGCTCAGCCCCCTCCAGCATTTGGGAACTCAAAACATTCCCGAGGGATCCAGGGGGATCCACAGGGGCTGATCCAGGGATTCAGAGGAGTCTCCAGGCAGATTCCCAAGGGGTTCAGGGATCCTGAGTCATTTTTTTCCCTCTTAAAGCAATTAAATGTTCCCTGTCAGCCAATTCCCAAATATTTACAATCCATGGGACCGGCTCCAAATTCCAGCCTGGCGTTGGGTGGAAGCTCATCCCAGGGCTCATCCCAGGAGCGGGAGGGAGGTTGTTATCCTGGTGGGAAGGGGGGAAAAATTGGGGAAAAATCGGGGGAAAAATCGGGGGGAAAATCGGGGGAAAATTGGGGAAAAATCAGGGAAAAAATCAGGAAAAAAATCAGGAAAAAATCGGGGAAATCCAGGGATTATTGGGGAAAAAACAAAGGAAAAATGGGGCCACATTTCCATCCCCTTCACCACATCCCTCCTCAGGGCCACCTTTATGCCCCCCCCTAGGGCCACATTTTGGTGTCCCCCAAGATCACATTTTTGTCCCCTTTAAGGCCACATTTTTGTCCCCTCCGGGTCACATTTTGGTGTCCCCCAGGGCCACATTTGGGTCCCGTCCAGGGTCACATTTCTGTCCCCATTTAGTGCTATGGCCTTGTCCTCTCCAGGGCCACCTTTCTGTCCCCCAGGGCCACGTTTTGATTTGACATTCTGTCCTCCCTTAGGGCCACACTCTTGTCACCTCCAGGGCCACATTTCTGTCACCTCCAGGGCCACATTTCTGTCCCCCCCAGGGCCACATTTCTGTATCCCTCAGGGTCACATTTCTGTCCCCCAGGGCCACATTTTGGTGTCCCACCCTTAGGGCCATGATCTTGTCTCCTCTCCGGGTCACATTTTGGTGTCCCCCAGGGTCACATTTCCGTCCCCCCCCAGGGCCATCTTTCTGTCTCCCAGGGCTACATTTTGGTGTCCTCCCTTTAGGGTCACATTTCCGTTCCCCAGGGTCACATTTCTGTCCCACTTAGGGCCATGCTCTTGTCAGCTCCAGGGTGACATTTCTGTCGCCTCCAGGGTCACATTTTGGTGTCCCCCATGGTCACATTTCTGTCTCCTCCAAGGCCACAATTTGGTGTCCCCCAGGGTCACATTTTGATTTGACATTCTGTCCTCCCTTAGGGCCACACTCTTGTCACCTCCAGGGTCACATTTCTGTCCACCTCAGGGCCACATTTTGGTGTCCCCCAGGGTGACATTTCTGTCCCCCAAGGTCACATTTCCATCCCTCCCCAGGGTCACGTTTCTGCCCCCTCCAGGGTCACATTTTGATGTCCCCCCCTTGCCACACTCTTGTCCCCCCCAGGGTCCCACTTCTGTCCCCCCTCAGGGTCCCATTTCTGTCACCCTCAGGGTCCCACTTCTGTCCCCGCTCAGGGTCACATTTCTGTCATCCCCAGGGTCACACTTCTGTCCCCCCCAGGGTCACATTTCTGTCCCCCAAGGTCCCATTTCTGTCCCCCCCCTCAGGGTCACATTTCTGTCACTCCCAGGGTCCCACTTCTGTCCCCCCCCTCAGGGTCCCATTTCTGTCCCCTCCAGGGTCACATTTCTGTCCCCCCCTCAGGGTCCCATTTCTTTCCCCCCTCAGGGTCCCATTTCTGTCCCCTCCAGGGTCACATTTCTGTCCCCACTGCCCCCCGAGGTCACTGTCCCTTCCCCACTCTGCCCAACATCCCCAGCCATGGGAAGGGTTAATCCCAACTCAATCCCATCCCGATCCCGTCCTGATCCAAACCCTTGGATTGGGAATTTCCATCCCAATCTCATCCCAATCCCAGCCTTGGCAAAACCCTTGGATTGGGAATTCCCATCCCCAGGCATGGGAAGGGTTAATCCCATCCCAATCCCATCCCAATCCCATCCCAATCCTTGGCTGAGCCCTTGGATTGGGAATTTCCACCCCCTGCCACGGGAAGGGCTGGAAAAAGGCTGGGAAAGGGCTGGGAAAGGCATGGGAAAAGGGGTGGAAACGGTGTGGGAAAAGGGTGGAAAAGGGAAAGAAAGGAGTGGAAAAGGAATGGAAAAAGGGGTGGAAAAAGGGATTGAAAAAATGGGTGGGAAAAGGGTGGGAATGGGGTGGGAATGGGGTGGGAAAAAGGGGTGGAAACCTGCCTGGGATTATCCCGGGCAGGTTCATCCTGGGTTTATCCCAGGTTTATCCCAGGCAGGTTTATCCTGGTCAGATTTATCCCGGGTTTACCCTGGTCAGGTCTTTCCAGACACATTTATCCCAGGCAGGCCTATCTCAGGCAGGCTTGTCCCAGACAGGTTTATCCTGGTCAGGTTTATCCCAGATTTATCCCAAACAGGTTTATCCTGGGCAGGTTTATCCCAGGTTTATCCCAAACAGGTTTATCCCAGACATGTTTATCCCAGGTTTATCCCAAACAGGTTTATCCTGGGCAGGTTTATCCCAGACATGTTTATCCCGGGTTTATCCCAGACAAGTTTATCCTGGGCAGGTTTATCCAGGGTTTATCCTGGGCAGATTTATCCCGGGTTTATCCCAGACAGGTTTATCCCAAACAGGTTTATCTCAGGCAGATTTATCCAAGATAGGTTTATCCCAGACAGGTTTATCCTGGTTGGTTTATCCCAGGAAAGTTTATCCCAGATTTATCCCAGACAGGTTTATGACAAACAGGTTTATCCCAGACAGGTTTACCTCAGGCAGGTTTATCCCAGTTTTATCCCAGGCAGGTTTATCCCAGTCAGGTTTATCCCAGTCAGGTTTTTCCCGGGTTTATCCCAGTCAGGTTTATCTCTGGTTTATCCCGGGTTTATCCCAGTCAGGTTTATCCCAGCTAGGTTTATCTCTGGTTTATCCCAGTCAGGTTTTTCCCGGGTTTATCCCAGACAGGTTTATCCCAGTCAGGTTTATCACAGAGAGGTTTATCTCTGGTTTATCTCTGTTTTATCCCAGTCAGGTTTATCCCAGTCAGGTTTATCCCATTCAGGTTTATCCCAGTCAGGTTTATCCCAGTCAGGTTTTTCCCGGGTTTATCCCAGTCAGGTTTATCCCAGCTAGGTTTATCTCTGGTTTATCCCAGTCAGGTTTATCCCAGTCAGGTTTATCCCAGCTAGGTTTATCTCTGGTTTATCCCAGTCAGGTTTATCCCAGTCAGGTTTATCCCAGTCAGGTTTATCTCAGGTTTATCCCAGTCAGGTTTATCCCAGTCAGGTTTTTCCCGGGTTTATCCCAGTCAGGTTTATCCCAGGCAGATTTATCCCAGGCAGGTTTATCCCAGGCAGGTTTATCTCTGGTTTATCCCAGTTTTATCCCTGACAGGTTTATCCCAGACAGGTTTATCCCAGTCAGGTTTTTCCCGGGTTTATCCCAGTCAGGTTTATCTCTGGTTTATCCCGGGTTTATCCCAGTCAGGTTTTTCCCGGGTTTATCCCAGTCAGGTTTATCTCTGGTTTATCCCGGGTTTATCCCAGTCAGGTTTATCCCAGCTAGGTTTATCTCAGGTTTATCCCAGTCAGGTTTATCCCAGTCAGGTTTTTCCCGGGTTTATCCCGGGTTTATCCCGGGCGGGCGCTGCGGGTCCCGAATGCCGGGAATGGATCCCGGCCGCGCTCCGACAGCGCCACCTGCCGGGCACGCGGGGAGGGACACGGCGGGGACACGGGGGCGGTGGGGCCGGGACGGGAATCACCGGGATGGGAATTCCTGGGATAGAACTCCCGGGACAGAAATCCCCGGGACAGAATTCCTGGGACAGAATTCCTGGGACAGAATCCCCGGGGCAGAATCCCCGGGACAGAACTCCCGGGACAGAAATCCCAGGACAGAATCCCCAGGACAAAATCCCTGGGACAGAATTCCCGGAACAGAATTCCCGGGAGAGAATCCTCAAAGTAAAATCCCCGGAACAAAATCCCCGGGACAGAATTCCCGGGAGAGAATCCTCAAGGCAGAATCCTCGGGACAGAATTCCCCGGATAAAATTACCTGGACAGAATTCCAGGGATGAAATCCCGGGAAAGAATTCCAGGACAGAATTCCCGGAACAGAATTCCCAGGATAAAATTCCCGGGACAGAATCCCCAGGACAGAACGCCCGGGACAGAATTCCCAGGACCGGCAGCATCGGACGCTAAGGGGCGTGGTTATGCAAATTAGGGGGCGTGTCGTCACGCATTCCTTCCCATTGCTGTGCGGCCAGCAGAAGTAGGGGCGGAGCTTTTTCATTAGGGGGCGTGGCCAGGGGCGTGACCCACATTGGGCTGACGGGGGCGTGTTCGATGGGCGTGTCCCCTGTCGTGGGCGTGTCCCTGTCGTGGGCGTGTCCCCTCGGTGTGGGCGTGTCCGGGGGGCGTGTCCCCTCGCTGTGGGCGTGTCCCCGCGGACGGCGGTGCCGTTTTGGGGGGGGCCATGGCGTGGTCCCGGTACCAGCTGGGCCTGGCCGCGCTCATGCTCCTCACCGGCTCCATCAACACCCTGGCGGCCAAGTGAGTCCCCCAAAATCCCCCAAAATCCCCCAAAATCCCCCGGGCCCCGCCCCCCGGTGTCGCGGTTGTGTCCCCGTGAGTGGCCTTGGGGACCCCCCCCCCGAGGCTTTGGGGTCACCTCGGTGTCCCCACCCCCACAAGGGGGAGGGGGGGATCCTTTTGGGGGGGATCCGGCTCCTTTTGGGGTCGGGGACGGAATTAGGGTTCCTCCAGCCCATTTTGGGCTGGAGCCCCGCCCCGGGTGCCCGTGCGGCTCCTCCCGCACCCCAAAATCCCGGGAAGCGCGGCAGTGACGTCATTGCCAACCGGCGGCGATCCCCAAAATGTGCCCGGGCAGGGCGGACCTGCCAGGCCGGCTCATCCCGGCCGATCCCAGCTCCGGAAGGGGAAACTGAGGCCGAGGGGACACGTGAGGTCCCAAAAAAGCCTCTTGCGACACCCCGGGAATGAGTCAGACCCGAATCTGCCGGGATTGGCGGAAAACCGGGATGGGCGGGGTCCCCTGGGGGGTCGGGGATGTTCCCGGCTGGATTCGGGGGGACATTCGGGGTCTGTGGAATGGGAAATCCGCATCCAAAGGGTCCTGCTTTGGCCAGAGGGTGGTTGGAGCAGCCCAAAAAAAGGGGGATTTACCCCAAACTGGGGCTGGGGCGTCCAGCGATTTTATGGATCCGGTGTCCCTCGGGATCCGGAGTTTTGGGACAGGGGGTGTCCCGTTCCCGGCTGTCACTCAATCCCGGCATCCCAGATCCGGAGTTTTCGGACAGGGGGTGTCCCATTCCCGGTGTCCCATTCACTCAATCCCGGGATCCCAGATCCGGATTTTTGGGACATGGGGTGTCCCATTCCCGGTGTCCCGTTCCCGGCTGTCACTCAGGATCCAGATTTTTGGGACATGGGGTGTCCCGTTCCCGGTGTCCCAATCCCGGTGTCCCAATCCCGGTGTCCCGTTCCCGGTGTCCCGTTCCCGGTGTCCCAATCCCGGTGTCCCAATGCCGGTGTCCGGTTCCCGGCTGTCACTCAATCCCGGCATCCCAGATCCGGATTTTTGGGACATGGGGTGTCCCGTTCCCGGTGTCCCAATCCCGGTGTCCCAATCCCGGTGTCCCGTTCCCGGTGTCCCAGTCCCGCTATCCCAATGCCGGTGTCCCGTTCCCGGCTGTCACTCAATCCCGGGATCCCAGATCCGGATTTTTGGGACAGGGGGTGTCCCGTTCCCGGTGTCCGGTTCCCGGTGTCCGGTTCCCGGTATCCCGTTCCCGGTGTCCCGTTCCCGGCTGTCACTCAATCCCGGGATCCCAGCCAGGGCTGCTCAGGCCGGGACAGCCCCGGCGGTGTCGCCTTCCCTGGGGACGTCCCGGCCCCGGCGCTGTCACCTGGGGGCGCTGCTGTCCCAGGGCACGGCCCGGTCCCGATTCCCCCATCCCGATCCTGATCCCGATCCCCATCCCGATCCCGATCCCTGCCCTGATCCCTCCCAGGTGGGCCGACAACTTCAGCGCTCCCGGCTGCGATGGGACGGAGGAGCACAAATTCCAGCACCCCTTCCTGCAGGTGAGATTCCCGACCCCAATTCCAGCCCCATTCCCAATCCCAGCCCCATTCCCAATCCCAGTTCCATTCCCAATTCCAATCCCTTCCTGCAGGTGAGATTCCCAATTCCAGCCTCATTCCCAATCCCATCCCCATTCCCAATCCCAACCCCATTCCCAATTCCAGTCCCATTCCTGATCCCAGCCCCATTCCCGATCCCAACACCCCTTCCTGCAGGTGAGATTCCCGATCCCAGCCCCATTCCCAATCCCAGCCCCATTCCTGATTCCAGCCCCATTCCCAATCCCAGCCCCATTCCTGATTCCAGCCCCACTCCCAATTCCAGCCCCACTCCCAATTCCGGCCCCATTCCCAATTCCAATCCCATTCCAGCTTCCAGCCCCATTCCTGATTCCAGGCCCTTTCCCCATTTCCAGCCCTATTCCTACAGGTGATTCCTCGTTTCCAGCTTCCAGCCCCCATTCCTACAGGCAAACCCCATTATTCCCATTTTCAACCCACTCCTACCCCTGATCCCTTTTTCCAGCTTCCAACCCCCTTCCTGCAGGCAAACCCCATTATTCCCGTTTCCAGCCCCATCCCTACACACGAACCCCATTATTCCCATTTCCAGCCCCGTTCCTACACATGAACCCCATTATTCCCGTTTCCAGCCCCATTCCTACAGGTGAACCCCATTATTCCCATTTCCAGCCCCATTCCTACACACAAACCCCATTATTCCCATTTCCAGCCCTCACCCCCCCTCCTATCCCCACATTCCCACATTCCCTGTGTCCCCCAGGCCGCCGGGATGTTCCTGGGGGAATTCTCCTGCCTCCCGGTGTTCTACCTGCTGCTCCTGCGGGATCGGCGCCGCGCGGATCGGGATCGGGATCAGGATCGGGATGGAGATGGGGATCCAGCCCCGGCCCCATCCCGACCCTTCAACGCCCTGCTGTTCCTGCCCCCCGCCCTGTGCGACATGGCCGGCACCAGCATCATGTACGTGGGTGAGTCCGCCGCGCAATTCCCGCTCTTCCCGTGAACCGCGGGATTTCTGGAAGTTTCCGTCGGGCCCTGAGCGCTTTTCCCGCCGTTTTCCCGCAGCTTTGAACATGACCAGCGCCTCCAGCTTCCAGATGCTGCGGGGCTCCCTCATCATCTTCACCGGGCTCCTCTCCGTGGCCTTCCTGGGCCGGAGGCTGGAGTGGAGCCACTGGGCGGGAATTGTGCTCACCATCCTGGGGCTGGCGCTGGTGGGAATGGCGGATCTGCGCGGGAACCCCGGCGGCGCCGGGCACGGGCTGGCCGACGTCATCACCGGTATCCCGGGAATGCTGGGGCATCCCAGGGAATCCCGGGAATGCCAGGGCAGGGGGACACGGGCTGGCCGACGTCATCACCGGTATCCTGGGAATGCCGGGGCATCAGGGATATCCCAGGGAATCCCGGGAATGCCGGGCAGGGGGCACGGGCTGGCTGATGTCATCATGGGTATCCCGGGAATGCTGGGGCATCCCAGGGAATCCCGGGAATGCCGGGGCAATGGGACACGGGCTGGCATCGTGGTAATGCCAGGGCAGGGGGACACAGGCTGGCCGACGTCATCACCGGTATCCCGGGAATGCCGGGGCATCAGGGATATCCCAGGAATGCCGGGGCAGTGGGACACGGGCTGGCTGATGTCATCACGGGTGTCCCAGGAATGCCGGAGCATCCCATGGCATCCCAGGGAATCCCGGGAATGCCAGGGCAGGGGGACACGGGCTGGCCAACATCATCACCGGTATCCCGGGAATGCCGGGGCATCAGGGATATCCCAGGAATGCTGGGGCAGTGGGACACGGGCTGGCTGACGTCATCACCGGTATCCCGGGAATGCCGGGGCATCAGGGATATCCCAGGGAATCCCGGGAATGCCGGGCAGGGGGACACGGGCTGGCCGACGTCATCACCGGTATCCCGGGAATGCCGGGGCATCCCAGGGAGTCCCGGGAATGCCAGGGCAGTGGGACACGGGCTGGCATCGTGGGAATGCTGGGGCAGTGGGACACGGGCTGGCCAACGTCATCACCAGTATCCCGGGAATGCCGGGGCATCGGGGATATCCCAGGAATGCCGGGGCAGTGGGACACGGGCTGGCTGATGTCATCACGGGTGTCCCAGGAATGCCGGAGCATCCCATGGCATCCCAGGGAATCCCGGGAATGCCAGGGCAGGGGGACACGGGCTGGCCGACGTCATCACCGGTATCCCGGGAATGCTGGGGCATCGTGGGAATCCCAGGAATGCCAGGGCAGTGGGACATGGGCTGGCTGGTGTCATCACAGGAATCGTGGGAATGCCGGGGCATCCCATGGCATCCCAGGGAATCCTGGGAATGCTGGGGCAGTGGGACACAGGCTGGCTGATGTCATCACAGGCATCCCGGGAATGCCGGGGCATCACGGGGCATTGCGGGAATCCCGGGAATGCCGGGGCAGTGGGATACAGGCTGGCATTGCGGGAATCGCGGGAATGCCGGGGTGGTGGGACACAGGCTGGCATCGTGGGTATCCTGGGAATTCCAGGGCAGTGGGACATGGGCTGGCATCATCACAGGTATCCCAGGAATGCCGGGGCAGAGGGACACGGGCTGGAATCCCGGGAATGCCGGGGCAGTGGGACAGTCTTGGGATGGCAGGGTCACTCTATAGGATGGCGGCGTCACTCGTTGGGATGGTGGGATTATTCCTTGGAATGGCAGGGTCACTCCTTGGGATGGTGGGAAAGGTCCTTGGAGTGGCAGGAAGACTTCTAGGAATGGGGGGACCACTCCATGAAGCTGGTGGGGGAAATATCTTGGGATGGGGGGATCTCTTCTTGGGATGGGGGGATCACTCCATGGAATGATGGGATCACTCCATGGAATGGTGGGAAAACCTTTTGGAATCTCTCCTTGGATTGGTGGGATCACTCCCTGGAATGATGCGATCACTCCCTGGAATGATGCGATCACTCCATGGAATGGTGGGAAAACCTCTTGGAATGGGGGAATCTCTCCTTGGGATTGGTGGGATCACTCCATGGAATGATGGGAAAACCTTTTGGAATGGGGGCATCACTCCTTGGATTGGTGGGATCACTCCATGGAATGGTGGGAAAACCTCTTGGAATGGGGGAATCTCTCCTTGGATTGGTGGGATCACTCCTTGGATTGGTGGGAAAACCTCTTGGAATGGGGGAATCTCTCCTTGGGATGGGGGGATCACTCCTTGGATTGGTGGGATCACTCCATGGAATGGGGTAATCTCTCCTTGGATTGGTGGGATCTCTCCTTGGATTGGTGGGATCACTCCATGGAATGATGGGATCTCTCCTTGGATTGGTGGGATCACTCCATGGAATGATGGGATCACTCTTTGGAATTGTGGGATCACTCCCTGGAATGGGGGGATCGCTGAAGCACAGACGAACCAACTAAGGCTGGCAAGAAGGGAAGGAAGGGCGCTCATCACGCCAACGGGAGCAAGCGGAATATTGGAATTATTTCCCAAAGCCGTTCTTGGGCAGCCGCAGGCTCCCGCTCCCCGTTCATCCCAAAACGTTTTACGCATTCACACGGCTTTTAAGGCCACCTCATACATATTCATCACCCGTATTATAATCAGCTGAATATTCATTACGGCTGCGCAATTGCTCTCCCTTAATTGGGGTCGTGGGTGGGGTTTTGAAAATCGTCTTCCTCACGGAGCTCTTCACCCGCGGCCAGTCCAGTCGCACCTCTTGGCCTGCTGGTCGTGGGCTAAGCCTGTCCTAACTCTTGGGTTATTCTCAAGGCCAGGTTTTTTATGGCTCCTGCCCTCTTGCATGCTCCATCTCTCCCCCGTTCCCTTGGAATTTCACTTTTCCTGGTATTTCTGTCACTCTCGAACCAGAGTTTGTGATTCCTGCTAGCGGCATTCCTAACTTAATTCATTCATTTATTTAAAACCTTAACTAAAACATGCGGTATTTCGCCGTCTTAATTATAGTTCCGGCCGGCTCCCCGACTCTTCTGCACTTTTCAATTAGCCTAATTACATTTCCAGCTGGCCCCTGGACTCATCACTCCTTGGAATGGGGGGAAAACTTCTTGGAATGGGGGGGGGGGGGGGGGGGGGGTCACTTTTCCCCCATTTTCCTCCTCTCTTCCTTTTCCCTGTTGTTTTCCCTGTTGTTTTCCCTGTTGTTTTCCCTGTTGTTATTCCTGTTTTCCCTGTCGTTATCCTGGTTTTCCCTGATCTTTTCCCTGTTTTTCCCTCTTGTTTTCCCCATTTTCCCTGTTGTTATCCGGGTTTTCCCTTTTGTTATCCCAATTTTCCCTCTTGTTTTCCCTCTTATTATCCCAATTTTCCCTGTTGTTTTCCCTGTCATTATCCTGATTTTCCTTGTTGTCTTCCCTGCTATCCCTGTTGTTATCCCTGTTTTCCCTTTTCTTTTCCCTGTTCTTTTCCCTGTTTTCCCTGTTCTTTTCCCTGTTGTTATCCCAGTTTTTCCTGTTGTTATCTCTGTCGGTATCCCTGTTTTTCCTGTTTTTTTCCCTGTTTTCCCAGTTGCTTGCCCTGTTTTATCCCTATTTTCCTTGTTGTTTTTCCTGTTTTCCCTGTTGTTATCCCAATTTTTCCTGTTCTTTTCCCTGTTCTTTTCCCTATTCTCTTCCCTGTTCTTTCCCCCATTTTCCCTGTTGCTATCCCTGTTTTCCCTGTTCTTTTCCCTGTTTTCCCAATTTTCCCCGTTCTTTTCCCTGTTTTCCTGGTTTTCCCCACATTTTTCCCCTTTTTTTCCTTGTTGTTTTCCTTGTTTTCCTTGTTGTTTTCCCTGTTGTTATCCGTGTTTTCCCTTTTCTTTTCCCTGTTCTTTTCCTGTTTTATCCCGATTTTCCTTGTTGTTATCCCCGTTTTCCCTGTTGTTTTCCCGTTTTTTCCTGTTGTTATCCCAATTTTCCGTGTTGTTATCCCACTTGTTATCCCTGTTTTCCCTTTTCTTTTCCCTGTTCTTTTCCCTGTTTTCCCTGTTGTTTTCCCTGTTGTTATCCCAGTTTTCCCTGTTGTTATCCCTGTTTTCCCTTTTCTTTTCCCTGTTCTTTTCCCTGTTTTCCCTGTTATTTCCCCTGTTCTTTTCCCTGTTCTTTTCCCTGTTCTTTTCCCTGTTCTTATCCCGGTTTTCCCTGTTTTCCCAGGTGACCTCCTGATCCTGCTGGCCCAGGCCATCGTGTCCATCCAGATGGTGCTGGAGGAGAAATTCATCTTCAGCCACGACGTGCACCCGCTGCGCGCCGTGGGCACCGAAGGTCCGCGGTTCCCCCGGAACCCCCGCCAGCGGGAATCCCACGGGGATCTCCTGCAGAAATCTGGGAATTCTCGGGGGTGGCAGAGGGCAGGCACTGTCCCCCAGCAGGATTTGCCCTCGGGGATTGGGAATTGTCCCTGCAGGGAATGTCAGCCCGGGGTGGAGAGGCTGTGCCGGCTCTTCCCGGTGGGATACGGACCCGCAGCCGGCGCTCCCGGAGCTTCTGCCGCATTCCCAGGGGATTGGGATGGATTTGGGGCTGGATTGGGATTGGGATTGGGATTGGGATTGGGATTGGGATTGGGATTGGGATCGGGGCCACAGCCAGCTCTCCCAGAGCCTCTGCTGCATTCCCAGGGGATTGGGATTGGGATTTGGGGCTGGATTGGGATTGGGATTGGGGCCACAGCCAGCTCTCCCAGAGCCTCTGCCCCATTCCCAGGGGATTGGGATGGATTTGGGGCTGGATTTGGATTGGGATTGGGATTGGGATCGGGGCCACAGCCAGCTCTCCCAGAGCCTCTGCCCCATTCCCAGGGGATTGGGATGGATTTGGGGCTGGATTGGGATTAGGATTGGGATTGGGATTGGGATTGGGGCCACAGCCAGCTCTCCCAGAGCCTCTGCCCCATTCCCAGGGGATTGGGATTGGGATTTGGGGCTGGATTGGGATTGGGACTGGGGCCACAGCCAGCTCTCCCGGAGCCTCTGCCCCATTCCCAGGGGAATTCCATGGGAATCCCGCTCGGTCCGATCCGTGATACAAGCAGGAATTCCCCGCAGGTCTTTTCGGCTTCTCCATCCTGGCGCTGCTGCTGGTGCCGCTGTCCTTCATCCCGGCGGGGCGGCTCTCGGGGAACCCCCGCGGCGTCCTGGAGGATCCCGCGGACGCCTGGTGCCAGATCCGCCGGGAGCCCCTGATCCTGGCGGCGCTGCTGGGGAACGTCGGGAGCATCTCCTTCTTCAACTTCGCGGGGATCAGCGTGACGCGGGAGCTGAGCGCGACCACGCGCACGGTGCTGGACAGCCTGCGCACGCTGCTGGTCTGGGCGCTCAGCCTGGCGCTGCGCTGGGAGCGCTTCCACGCCCTCCAGATCCCGGGATTCGCCCTGCTCCTGGCCGGGGCCGCGCTCTACAACGGCCTGCACCGCGCGCTGCGGAGCGCCGGGAGCGCCGGGGGCAGCGGGAGCGACAGCCAGGAGAGGGAAGCGCTGCTGGGAGGGGACGGAGATGGCGGCAACATCCAGGGATGAGCGGGTGCTCCTTGGGATTGGGAATTGTCCCTGCGGGGAATGTCGGCTGTGCCGGCTCTTCCCAGTGGGATACGGACCCAGAGTTGGCTCTGCTGGAGCGTCTGCCCCATTCCCAGTGGGATTGGGGTGGAATTGGGACTGGAATGGGATTGGGAATGGGAATGGGATTGGGGTGGGATGGGGGCTGGGGCTGGATCCACCCATCCCCCAACCCATGTTCCCAATAAAGCCCCTCTGCCCATTCCATGGGGATCTCTGCGGGGATCCTGCAGAAATTTGGGAATTCTCAGGGAATTCTCTTTGGGATATCTCAGGGAGAGGACAGGGACTGTCCCCCAGGGTGTCCCAGCAGGATTTGCCCTTGGGAATGTTCCCAAGGATTGGGAATTGTCCCTGCAGGGAATGTCAGCCAGGGGTGGAGAGGCTGTGCCGGCTCTTCCCGGTGGGATACGGACCCACAGCCGGTGCTCCCGGAGCCTCTGCCCCATTCCCAGGGGATTGGGATTGGACTGGGATCGGTTTGGGATTGCGATGGGTTTGGAATTGGGATTGGAATGGGCTTGAGGCTGGATCCACTCCCTTCCCCAAATCGTGTTTCCAATAAAGCCCCTCTGCCGATGTCTCATTCCGTGGGGAGATCCTGCAGGAATTTCAGGAATTTGGGAATTCTCGGGAATGGCAGAGGACAGGGACTGTCGCCTAGGGTGTCCCAGCAGGATTTACTTCCCCAGGATCTCTTCCAGGGGGATCAGGACCTGGCAGTTGCTTGGCAGGGAAGCTCTTCCCTGTCTCATGAGGGGCTGGAGATCCATTCCAGGAGGGATGGGGACAGGCCCTGGCGCTGGGATCCGTGTCCATAGCACTGGGATGGGGACAGGCCCTGGCATTGGGATCCATGTCCATGACACTGGGACAGGCCCTGGCACTGGGATCCGTGTCCATAGCACTGGGATGGGGACAGGCCCTGGCACTGGGATTTGTGTCTCACAGGATGGGGACAGGCCCTGGCACTGTGATCCGTGTCCATGGGATGGGGACGGGCCCTGGCACTGGGATTCGTGTCCATGGCACTGGGATCCATGAACTGGGACAGGCCCTGGCACTGGGATCTGTGTCCATGGCACTGGGATGGGGACAGGCCCTGGCACTGGGATCCGTGTCCATGGGATGGGGACAGGCCCTGGCACTGGGATCTGTGTCCATGGCACTGGGATCCATGAACTGGGACAGGCCCTGGCATTGGGATGCATGTCCATGACACTGGGACAGGCCCTGGCACTGGGATTTGTGTCCATGGCACTGGGATCTGTGTCCATGGCACTGGGATGAGGACAGACCCTGGCACTGGGATGGGGACAGGCCCTGGCACTGGGATCCATGAACTGGGACAGGCCCTGGCACTGGGATCTGTGTCCATGGGATGGGGACAGGCACTGGCACCGGGATTTGTGTCCATGGCACTGGGATGGGGACAGGCCCTGGCACTGGGATTTGTGTCCCATGAACTGGGACAAGCCCTGGCACTGGGATCCGTGTCCATGGCACTGGGAGAGGCCCTGGCACTGGGATTTGTGTCCATGGCACTGGGAGAGGCCCTGGCACTGGGATTTGTGTCCCACAGGATGGGGACAGGCCCTGGCACTGGGATCCATGAACTGGGACAGGCCCTGGCACTGGGATCTGTGTCCATGGGATGGGGACAGGCCCTGGCACAGGGATTTGTGTCCATGGCACTGGGATGGGGACAGGCCCTGGCACTGGGATTTGTGTCCATGGCACTGGGATGGGGACAGGCCCTGGCACTGGGATTTGTGTCCATGGCACTGGGATGAGGACAGGCCCTGGCCCTGGTATCCATGTCCATGGGATGGGGACAGGCCCTGGCACTGAGATTTGTGTCCCACAGGATGGGGGCAGGCCCTGGCACTGGGATCCATAAACTGGGACAGGCCCTGGCACTGGGATTCGTGTCCATGGCACTGGGATCCATGAACTGGGACAGGCCCTGGCACTGGGATCCGTGTCCATGGCACTGGGACAGGCCCTGGCACTGGGATTTGTGTCCCAGAGGATGGGGACAGGCCCTGGCACTGGGATCTGTGTCCATGGCACTGGGACAGGCCCTGGCACTGGGATTTGTGTCCCAGAGGATGGGGACAGGTCTGCAATCCTGGGCAGCTCCTGCTGAATCAGATCTGGGACCGGATCCTGATTCCTCAACTCCACAATTCCGCAATGACGAAATTATGGAAAATTCCGAGGCTTGTTTTCCTTCTTTTTCCCACAGGATGATCCCAAAAACTCCGTAGGCAGTTCCAGGGTGTTCAACTCTACCTTTATTTTCCGTTTGGGGCCCAGCAGGGTCCTGGCAGCAGGAAGGGTCAGGAGGGGAGAGGTGGCAGCGATGCTGAGAATTCCCCCCGGGAAGGGGGATCCGGAGGGGCGGCAGCGGCGGCATTGCCCGGCTACTCTCTGGAAATGAGGGAAAATTCGGGATGAGCCCTCTGTTATCCCTCAGGGGGGGTTTGGAAAGGTCCCACAGGACTCACACGGCGTTTTCCTTGAAGTGCTGCAGCGCCTGCTGGGCCACGTTCTCCATGAACCGGGGGTCGTCCCAGGGGATGTCCCCGGGCACGGTCAGCGCCAGCGGCTCCGAGTCGAAGAGCTGCACCGTCACCTGCGTGTCCGGGGGCACCGAGGGATCCTCGGGGTTCGGAGCCTTGGACAGCACCTGGAATGGACACCGGGGTCATCCCACGGGAGATTCTGAATTTGTGAGGTCGGAGCCGCCGCGGGAGAGCCCCAGGCGGGCCCCTGACCTTGGCTCCTATCCCGGCATCCGGCTCTGCCAAGAGATTCCCGGCCGGAGCACAAAGAGCCCTTTGTGGCCCTGTCCCACTTTCCGCCTTCCCGCCCCCGTCCCCGCTCCCATCCCGGCCCCATCCCGGCCCCATCCCGCCGGCCTCACCGTGGTGACCTGCAGGAAGCCGTCGGAGCCCATGGAGTGGTTGGCCAGGCGGGACACCCAGCCGAACTGGCGGTTCAGCTGGTCCAGCAGGCCGGAGGTGTTGAACATTTCCTCCTGGAATTCCCGGAGCAGGGAATCGTAGCGGCGCGTGAAGCGCTCGGCCACGCGCACGGCGTCCTCCAGCTGCTCCCGCAGCTCCTGCTGGGAGGGATCCTCCTGCCCGCAGTCTGGGACGGGGCGGGATGGGGTCAGCACGGCCCTGCGGGGTTCATCCCGCCCCATCCTATCCCCATCCCATGTTCCCCCACCCCAAAATGCACTCCAACCCCCCCCCAACCCACCCTGTGCACCCCAAACCCTGAATTGCGCCTCCCATCCCTGTTCCCATTCCCATCCCTGTTCCCATTCCCGTCCCCATCCACATCCCTGTTCCTGTTCTGTCCCCATTTCCATTCCCTTTCCCATCCCATTCCCATTCCCACTCCCAGTTTTCCATCTCCTTTCCTGTCCCCATTCCTGTGTCCCCATTCCCATTCCTGTCCCTGTTCCCCATTCCCATCCCTGTTCCATCCCCATTCTCATCCCATTCCCATCCTTGCTCGTTCCCATCCTTGTTCCTGTCCTGTTCCCGTCTCCATTCCCATCCCTATCCCTTTTCCCCATTCCCATCCCTGTTCCCTTCCCCATTCCCATCCCCACTCCCATCCTTGTCCCCATTCCTCATTCCCGTTCCCCCATTCCTCATTCCCATTCCCCCATTCCTGTTCCCATTCCCCCATTCCCGTTCCCATTCCCCCATTCCCATCCCCACTCCCATTCCCTGTCCCCATTCCCATCCCCGTTCCCATTCCCCCATTCCCAACCCCACGCCCATTTTTCCATCTCCTTTTCCATTCCCGTTCCCGTTCCCGGCTCACCCAGGGCCAGGATCTCCCGGCACTGCTCGCACTCATCCTTCATCCGCAGGCAGCCGGCCGAGTTCCGCCGGATCTCCCGGCAAACCATCCGGTCATTGCTGAAATTCCGGGATTCTGCGGGAATTCCGGGCCGGCCTCAGCTCCCCAAATCCCCCCCCAGCCCCGGCAGGTCCCCCCCAGGTGCCAGAAAAGGGATTTTTCCTTGGAATTTGGGCCCCTCCTGTCCCCAGGGCTGCGTTGGCAGACGGTGATGGCACCGGCTGCGACATTCCCAAAAAAAACAAACACCGAAAAAACATCGGCTGTAATCCCAAAAAAAAACAAACACCGAAAAAACATCGGCTGTAATCCCAAAAAAAAAACAAACACCGAAAAAACATCGGCTGTAATCCCAAAAAAAACAAACACCAAAAAATCATCAGCACAATCCCAAAAACAACCTAACACCTGCAATATTCCCTGCAAAAACCACCTGCAATATTCCCATAAAAAATACCTGCATATTCCCAAAAAACCCAAATACCTCCAACATTCCTTAAAAAAACCTGCCTGCATTATTCCCAAAACCTCCAACATTCTCCCCCCCACAAAAGACCCATCAGCAGCATTCCCAAAAAACCCAAACACCTGCAAAATTCCCAAAAAAAAAAAAACCCATTCCCATGATGGCAGCCGGGATTGAGGTGGGACAGCACCCCAAAATCCCAGCCCACCACCAGCGAAGCTCCTGATTCCCAGGTTTCCATGGGAACTCCCTTTAGGGAATCCTCCAACATTGCCAAGGATTTTCTGGGAATCTTTTCCCAGAATCCTCCAACGCTCCAAAGGATTTTCTGGGAATCTTTTCTCAGAATCCCCCAAATCCTCCAAAGTTGCCAAGGATTTTCTGGGAATCTTCTCAGAAACCTCAGAATCCTCCAAGATTGCAAAGGATTTTCTGGGAATCTTTTACCAGAATCCTCCAACGTTGCCGAGGATTTTCTGCGAATCTTTTCCCAGAAATCCTCCAAATCTTCCAAAGTTACCAAGGATTTTCTGGGAATCTTCTCAGAAACCTCAGAATCCTCCAAGGTGGCAAAGGATTTTCTGGGAATCTTTTCCCAGAATCCTCCAAC